CTCCAGTGCGCCACTGGGCCGGCCCTTGTTATGTCTTTTTAACTTCTTATCTATAGCCCCCAGTTTTCTGGGCCTTTGGTTAAAAGTAACTTGGAAGCACTCTAGATCGTACTATAACAAGGCCATTTACATTTGTAAAAGTCTAAATCCAGCCTTAGGTAGGACATCCTGAAGATGGTGAAGTAGACTGGATGGAGATAAAAGGGGAAAAGGAAGATGTTTAAAAAGCAGGTGCGTTGAAAAGTGGTGGATTTATCGAGAGAATCGGTTATTTTTGTTTGATATATAAAACTGCACTTTCCTCTACTGTTTATTATACTTAAATTCCAGATTTTCTATTTAAAGGCTGCAATTCAAATTTGGTTGTCATTTAAATAGTGTCTAGGGAATTACACTTGTATTTTCTTAAATGTTAAATATAAATATTTCTATTATAAGGAGAGCCTGTGAAGTAGAATGTTTTATATTGCTTGGTAACTTTTTTAAAGGAAAAGATTTGTTTGATCATCTGCGCTGTCACAAGAGTCAACTGCGGTTTTGTGCTTAGTATAGCTCATTGCTGCACTCAGATAGTATCAGGCTGTTAGTTTAAGACTTTCCCTTTAAAGTGGCTTTTATATAAACTTAACATTTAGTATTTATTATCACTATCTGAGATTTCACCAGTTAAATGAAATATTTCTGAGTAAATGGTAAATGTTTAGGTGGTAAATATGCTAACTATTCTGATTAAATCATTATACAATATACACGTGTATGGAAACAATACACTGTACCCCATAAACATGAACAGTGAAAAAAGTATAACTAAAAATAAAAAATAGAAATTAAATTATTTAATTTTTTCCAAGTTGAATAGGCATGGATATACCCTTTTGTGTGAGTCACTCAATTTTTTCCTACTTTGTATATGATTTTTAAAATTCTATCAACACCTGAAGCCCTGTCTCCCCTAAAATTCTTTAATAGTGACTCCCTGGACATGCCCATGTCTTTACAGCTTGCCTGCTGTTTACTGAAATAGCAGCCAGCCGATCTTTCTGTCTTTCGGCATTTCTTGTGTGGTTAGTCTTGGGTTTGTGGCAGACAAATCTGATTGTTGGTTTTAGATTTCATGCCTCATTGAAGCCTTTAGCTATTAGAGCCAGAAAGTGGTGATAACTTCTTATGTGTGATGTAACTTTTGACTGTTACACAATTTTAATCCTGAATCAGAAAACTAGTAAAGCAAGGACCTGACTTAATAATAGTAGGGAGATTTTTTTCCAACGGTAAAAGTGTTCACTACTGTCTTGAATGTTGCTTTTGTTTTCACTTAAAAGACCTTTGTTTTCACAAAAGCTGCAGCATAGTAACAATGAAATGCATAATGTGCTTACTTTCTACATCTATGTAATACTAACATTGACTTAAAAGGGTGAATTTTCAGTTCTGTTTCTATTTTAAAGTTACTTATTAAAATTTTAGTATTTGTTTTTTTCTGATTATATAAGAAATGTATCTGTTACTTAAAAAATGAATTATAAAAAACATATAAAATTAGAGAATTATAAAAAGACTTATCCTTCCACCAATAATTTAAAATTCTAATCCTAATTTTAATTGCCAATGGACATATTTTACTTTTTCTTCAGATTTATAAATTTTATATATTGAGAACATATTTAAAAAATCTCTTTAAATATTAGAGCATAAACTTAATTTTATTGTCAAAGAGTTTTACAATTTTGTGTCCTGAAAACAAAGTTTGACTTAAATTTTCAAATTTTTATGGAAACAGTGCAGTGACTTCTTAGTTTAAGTGTATTAGAACAACATGGGTAGGAATAAACTTCACTGTTTCAAAGTATTACACTGGGTGAGTTTTTCAGAAACAAAATGATTACAGATGCACTTGAAAATATGTTTCTGAAAGGAAATGTTAATGTAGTTTAGTGACACTTTTATGAACATTTAAAAAAATTAACAATGTAGGAACATATATGAAATGTGCATGATTATCATAAAACTATAAATACTGTACTTAGATTTTTATATTGGTTTATAAATAGGCCTATGAACAGAGAAAAAACAGGGGCACTATGATTACATAATGCATTAAATAATTACGAATATATTTCAGAATATAAAATGAAAATTTTGATATTTCAGCATACTGGTCCAGAACCTGAGCTGTGAAAATAAAGTATTTGTGTTTATAGGCTGGCATTTCCATTTTCCAGCTACTGATTTTGGCAAGTTATTTGTAACTAATAAAAATGAAGCTAGTAATAATACCAGCTTTGTAGACTTGTGCTCAATAAATGTCAGCTGTCACCATTATTATCATACTTATTGTTATTATTTTGTTGGTAAAAGACACACCTGTTTTATATAATGCCCTTACAGAATAATTTTTCCATTATTTATAGTTATTCTAAGACTAGATATCTTCATGGATGTTGGGTTTTTTCCAAAATTGTGATATTTTTCTGATTATAAAAATAATACATGTTCACTTTTTCTATGACATACTTTGCCCCCCCAAACAATATTTTCTAAGCATTTTTCCATGTAATAATTCATGGATCTACCCAAACCTCTTATTAAACTAAAGTGCATATAATTTTATAATACATTTATATTACAACTTTTTTTTTTTTTTTTTTTTTTTTTTTTTTTTTTTTTTCATGTCTGGCAATCGTATAACTTCGTATAATGTATGCTATACGAAGTTATTACGTCCTACTGTACATACATATTATCTTAAGGAGAAAATCCAAATGTAAACTCATATTCCCTGCCAGAAAATTAAAATAAGCAAACATCTGCTTCCTTAGAATGGCCTTTAGCCAAGGTTCAGCCTACAGTGAGTTACTGCAAAATTTTCACATGATTTCATTTTTTAAAAATTTCCCAACTGACTTCAAGTCTAAAATTATAAATGGATCCTATGAAAGTATAAACACATATGCAATTTTGCTGGCTCTGAGGTCAGAACCAGTAATATATCAAATATCATTTTATCAAATTCAGCTCATCTTCTAAATATTACAACTTTTAAAAAACAATTTCTCTATTAATATGCGTTTAGTGGTTGCATTCGTTGGTGGCTGATACCAGAGAGTAGTGTTATACTCTTTGTGCCCTTGTTTTTATATTTTTACATATTTGTAGAAGTTTTTCTTCAGACCAGATGCCTATGTTTTTTTGCTAGATTATAGGATATATACATTTAAACTACAAATTGATAGACCCAGCAAAATTTTCTACCAAAAATATTCAATTATTTTTCTCATTGCTCATTTCCCCATCTACTACTAATGCTTAGTGCTATCAGTCTTTTATTGTTTTGCCAATTTGATAAGTAAAAGTTGTTTTTATTATATTAATTTACATTTTAATTATTAGGGAGGCAAGTAGCTTTTCATATATTTGATTATTTATATTTTATTTGAATTATCTATACCTTTATTCAAGTTTGCCTTTTATTGATTTTTTAGAAGCTCTTTATTTGGATATGTTTTGTCTTCCCTGTGTAGCAAACATTTTCGCACAGACTTTTTCCTTCGCTTATGGCATATGTTCTTACATGCAAGCGTACATCTTTATTTTAGTAACATCTGTCAGGTGTGTCCTTGGCACACCTTTATGAATTCATATTATTTTTTAGAGTTTCTAATTCCAGGATTATAAAATATTTTCTTTTTTGTTACAACTTTGTTTTAACATTATGATTTTATACATTTAAAATTTTATTTCTTCGAAGTTTAATTTTGAGTCTATTGTGAGAGAATGATTAAACTTTATTTTCTTCCAAATACATAGCCAATAGTTTCTTAGTGAAAAACTCAGGAACTATTTATATCATTAACATTATTGATGACTTAAAATTGCTAGCACAATATTAAGTGTTTTACATATGTTTTCTCTTTTAATTCTTAGAATCATCTTCTGAGATTGGTACTACTATTATATCTTTTTTACAGATGAAGAAATCACAGCATGGAGAACTTAGTGATTTGCCAACTAGAAAGTGCTGGCACCAGGAGCCAGGACTTGGATCTAAATAGCCTCGTTCCAGAACTTGCACCCCTAATCACTAACAGGGTTATGCAGTTTAAATTTGTGTGGTTCTCTGCATTGTGGCAACATTGTAATATTAACGGCACTATAAAAAAATTTAAAGAAAAGTAAAGAAAGTCTTCATCAATTATTGGGGCATGTTGTGCCAGAATGCAGCTGTCATTTCCAGAACAGACTTACAAATTTGTCTTTAGTCTTCTACCCTCTTGGCCTGACACTACCCTCTTCCCCTGCCCTCCCTTAGTCCCACCTCTTCCTGCCTGTTTTCTCTCCTGACCAGCAGGGTGGGGGGCATTCCTGTCCTCTGTTTTTTGTGCTTTTCATTTCTTTGGTGAGACCAGCAGTTTGGCAGAATATAACGGATGTGCCACAGAATTCTAGAATGGAAACTTCTGTTCTTACCAACCCCAAGAAGAGAGATTGTGAATTCTAACACAAATTAGGTTGCTTTTTGTGTCTGTCTTTAATATTAGTTGAATAATTACCACATACCAGGCTCAAGTGTCACATTAAAATATTACCACGATTAAAAATTTATGGTATAATAATGTAATGTTACTTTAAGAATGAAATTCATAAGTTATATACATATAAAATGTTGAGGTCTTCATAATGAGTGATTGATACGAAGTTCTTTTCCAGTTCTCTGAAACATCTCACCTTTTAAAAACTAGTGCTTATCTTTTTAATCTCTTCAAACATGGTCTCCCAAGTTCTAGCATTAAAAAATGTACCACGAACACAAAAAGGGCTAAAATAAAGCCAGAGCAAATTTTTATCAAAATGGGGACTAGAAATGTGATGTGAATTTTCCTGTGCTGAAATCCTAAAGAGTCAACTCTGTTTATTTTCCAGTGCAAAAGCCCAATTTAATTCTCTGTGCCTCCAGGTTCAGGCCTTTTCTGACCTGCCCTTGTCTTGGTTTGGTGTCTCAGTCTTCAGGAACCAGCATAACTGTGGATATCGCCGTGATGGGAGAGGCTCATGGCCTCATCACCGACCTCCTGGCAGACCCCTCCCTGCCCCCGAACGTGTGCACGTCCCTGAGGGCGGTGAGCAACCTACTCAGCACACAGCTCACCTTCCAGGCCATTCACAAGCCCAGGGCCAGTCCCATCGTTTCCTTCAGTGAAAACTATACCTGTTCTGATTCCGAGGAAAGCTCAGAAAAAGACAAGCTGGCTTTTCCCAAGGTGGGTATTCATGACATACTACTTAAAGGGTTCAACTTTTTCTTTTATTGTCTTCTAGGTCTCCTTCCTGTCACCCCAAACCCATTTGCAGATTCATGTCAATTGCTCAGGGAAGAGGTGTTGACCATGGTGACAAAAGTGGCACAAATTTAAACATAAAGGCTTCTGTCCTCATACCTGATAGGTTTCTGTAAATAGAAAATTTACCTTTTTGCCTTACCTTTTTTATTTTTAACTTTTAAGAAGTTTTTACTTGCAGGGAGTTTTTATTTTTATGGGCTAAGGTCTGTTGTAGGTGATAAGGATATTGCAGAAAAAAAAAACTAAACAAAAAATAAACAGACAAAAATGTCTGGTCTATTCTGGGACAGATTCTGTTTAAATTAATTGCTTTCTAAAACTGAAGATCCCTTTCCTCTTTGATTTCTTACTATGATATCCCTCAAAGTACCCTCACGGCTTTCCCAAACAGAGCAAGTTTTGAACTCAGAACAGATTTCATTAATTGTAGATAATTTAAAGTAAAAGATGGCCTTAGTGATTTATGTGATCTCACATTTTATATGTAAAAAGAAAAAATTATATGCATTCCTTCTTTTTACATATATGAGTGTTACAAAAGTAAATGGTAAGAGATAGGACCCTGCTCCCAGTTCAGATCTCAGTGTTAGTTAAAAATAAGTCATATTAAAGACCAAGAACATCAGAATTTCAGTGGTCTCTGCTACATCCAGCAGAGTTATTCAGTAGACAAGCAGCTGTCCCCTTGAGTCAGTGGCCAGTCAGTAACTTCCATGTTCCTGCTACTGTGAGTCTGTTGATTCAGGAATGTGATTGTCATAACTTTGTCAATTTAGTATTCATACAGTTTCCTTCAAACCTTCACTTCCCTGAAAAAGACATACCCAAGCATGATGTGACAGGAAAGATATGGGAAGAGAGATTAACTATTTCTTTGGGTCTCAAAACAGACTTGAGTTCAGTGACAGATTTAAGGCAAGAACCCTGCTGTTTGACCCTTTCTCTTTCTACTGAATTACCTTCTAAGGTGCATATTCAAATCTTTAAGAGACACTGGAAACTATTTCATATGAGAGCTATTCTTGAATCCCAAAGTGCCATATACTTCACTTCTCAAAAGATTGTACCCTCTTTAGAAGAGCAGAATGTGTCTTTGTAAACCATGCCTACATGGTTGGTTTATTACTAGTAATTAGCCACAAATAAAAGTGGGTTGAGGTCCTACCTATTATGACTATTGCCGAGGCTTTATTAGGAGAATACCTTCACTTTAAATTTTAAGGGTCAGACTCTGTTCAGAGTGTGGTGCTCATTCTCGTAATAGTAAGCTGATGGTGCCACGTATCCCACCTAGGAGGTGGTGGAAGAGGAAATCGTAAGAGGCAACAAGACCCTGGCAGAAGACCCTGCCAGCCAGCACATTAATCATATTAATTAATCATAATGATTAAGTCACATTAATCATAAGAGAGGCAGTGCATTTTGTGAAAGATGCTTACACTTAGCTCATATCATTTTTAAATCAGGATAGTAAAATTAAATCAATAATTCTTAGGGGGGGTATACTACTCAGCTATGAAAACGAATGAAATACTGTCATTTGCAACAACATGGATGGACCTTGAGAGAATAAATATTGAGTGAAACGAGTCAGGCAGAGAAAAAGAAATACCACATGTTCTCACTCATTGGTGGGAGCTAAAAAATAAACAAATTAATTCACCTACATACACACACACAAAAACCGGGGGGGGGGGAAGAAGATATAACAACTATACCTTTTTGAAGCTGTTACAACAAGCAAACGGAAAGGACATTCTTGGGGGGGAGGGGAGCTAGGGAGGAGGGAGGGAGGTGTCGGTGATGGGCCATAATACTAATATAATATGTATGTGTATAGCTGTATAATTCCTATTGAACTAATATTACTATAAAATTATCCAAGAGGTAATTGATTCTCATTTCTATAATCCCATATTTGCATAAGCATTGAAATGAGGACCTCAAAATAGTATTTTTATAATAATCATTCATTTTGGCCAGTGAGTTTTTTATTGAATTTTTGAGCACCCAGATTAAAATGTGGGTGATAGATGATATCCAACCAATATAGTTTAATCAATTCATTTCTAATTAAAGACTCATTTTCTTCGACTATGTTACATAAAAGTTAGTGATATAAAATATGCTTGGTAATAAAATCAAACTCCTTCCTAGCGCCTGAGAAGGAGTTTGCCCCCTGGCTTGTTGAGACGAGTCTCATCGACTTGGACAACCACCACCTCGGCCACAGGTCTACCCACCTTGGAGCCTGCGCCAGTACGGAGGGACCGCAGCGCCAGCATCAAACTGCATGAAGCGCCTTCACCCAGGTCAGACCACGCTCCTGCTGGTTACTTACCAAAAAGGAGTGATAAGTTACAGCAGGGAGGCCCAACCAAACAACATTGGTTAGAGGACAGCTTTGAAAATGGAAAAGATGTGTAGTTTAAATGCAGAGCAGTATAGGGACTAATATTGGATAATTAGGCTTAAATTATGTTGTGGGGCCTTAAATATAAGTGGGAAGAGTGACCTGAGGTGATCTCTGCCAGCGTGACCTTGGAAGGGACGGGTTGAGCCCAGAATAAAGGTAGGCTAGATTTCACCTACGTTGAGCTCCGTACAGAGACCCTTAAATCAAAAGCATCCAACCTGACATTTGCAAATGATTGTTAGATGCCCCTAGCCCACCAGACCAGCTGTTCTAGCCCTGTATGAAAGGCAGAAGAGCAGAGTAGAAGTAGATCTTTTTATTTTTCTTTTTTTGTGGCTGGCCGGTATGGGGATCCAAACCCGTGAACTTGGGGTTATAAGGCTGTGCTCTAACCAGCTGAGCTAACTGGTGTTTAAGTGTTTTTTTTCCACATTAATGATTGTGTTCTAATAAACCTGTAGAATCAGAAGCAAACTCAAATGATTTTTTCGTATGTCAGTGTCATTCACTCCATCTTATTTCCTAGACTTTTGTGAAGGTTCTAAACACCACCACAGTAGGAGACTATGCACTGTTTCATAAACATTTCCTAAAGTTTGAAATTAGAAGTCATTGGTAATATTTTTCTCTAAAAATATTGACCATTGTCAATTTCTACAGCAGTAAATACCAGTAAATGATATAGTATTATAGTTAAATGTTGCTTAAGAAAATGAATTATGTTCTCAGTGTATATCATGAAAGAAGCTGCCTGTCTTACCAACCTTGCCAAGTTTCCTGTCTTAGTATAGTTCATGCTCCATGATTTTCTTTCCGTAGAATCTACCAAGAATTCATTCATGCCTTCTCACACGTCTGTCTATTATTCTTTGTTACTTCTGGTCAAATATCACTTCTCCTATCATGTTCTTCTCTTAGTCAATTAAATGAACTTGGGAGCTGAAATTGAAATCATCACAGGAAGAGGGTTTTAAGAACTTTTACAAGGTGAACTCCCAAGGATTCTGTCATTCAGCTTTACAAAACAAATATTCATACCTAAATATTTTCAAAAGAGATAAGGAATAGCATATGATACCACTAATTGTCTTTCTCCTAAAAAATACTCATACGTGTCTTGCCTAGGTATACTTTTTCCCACATTCTAACTTACTATCCTTTAATTTCACTGTCCTGTAAAAAGTCCTGATACCAAATCTGAGGGATACAACTTTTTCACCATTTCGAAAAAATGAAATTCATTCTGAAGAGAATTTGAGCCCTTTAAGGGGAAACCACATATGAGTAAATGGCAGTAGTACCACCATTAAACACAACTAGTTTGGGTCTTGATTATAAAGTTAAAACCCTCTTCATTTAGGAGACTTATTGCTAAAACTGCTGATTGATTTCAAAATAGATTTGAGTTTTGGCCCTGAAGCCTTTTCCTTTTTAGCCATTTTATTTCTTACTTACGATATCTGTCCTTTTATTGGGGCTCCATAAGGACTGTAGTGATTAAAATAACAACAAGATTGAGAAGAAAACATTAGAAACAGTCCACAGCTTATATCCACTTAGGTATACAGCTGGATAGTTTACTCCTGAGTAACTTTAAACACAGTCTGGAAGGAAGGACACTGAACTAAGTGTCAAAAGGATCACTTAGAGATGTTTCCCATCTCTGATGTACCCTGTCACTCAGAGATGTATGTCCTGAGACAAGACATTAGCCTGCCTGAACCTCAGACACACTACAAGGAATCATTAGGGAATAAAGGGACTGTGGCATAATTGGAGGGGTAAATTAGATGGAAGAATACAACAAGGTGCCTTTTTAAAAAGCAGGGTTTGGGGAAATAGAAAAGGTTGAAATCATACCCTAAATCATTCCAAGTTGATGTGGGAACTTACCATTACTTCTGTACGAGTATATTAGGCAAAAAGGAAGCTTTAAACTTGATAAAATAGACTATTACTTGGTAAGACTTTTAGGACTTAGGATGGAGTTGTTATGGGGAGATTAGGGCAAAAAGCCACTTTTGTGAGGAGGGTTGAGATCTTCTATTACAGGCACAGATAATTTTCCTCTGCCGTGTCAACATGAGGAAACCAAGTAAAGATTTCCCTAAGCTGTTTTCCTCTCCAAAATCCAAATTATTACATGTTCATGAGATTTAAGCAGGAATTAGAAGTAAGGGTCACTGAAAAGCTAGAAATTATTGTGAGGATCATATAAAGCAATATATGAAGGTGCCTGTGCACTTTACTTTTATATATAATATAATGAATATTGATGTGTTATGTTTCATTAACAGTATAACTAATATTTAATATATTGAGAATGAGATAGATACAGCTAGGATTTTATTTATCTTGAGTTCATTAAATCCTCATACACTAAAGGTGCTCTACCACTGCACTTCACAAAGTTTTCAAAATGAGCACATTTTAAATACTTTTATTTGAAAAAAATAACAGTCATAGCCTTCATAATATATCTTTTTGAGATACTAAAACATTCAGTTAACATTAAGGTCTTATCTTTAAAAAGTCTACTAGAAATGTAATAACCTATACATTGTATCATGTACTGAAAACTGAAAACATTTAGGCCACATATCTATTACATAAAATTTCTTCACAGTAATCTTATCAGTTAATCAGTTCAGCAAAATGAATTGAAAAGAACTAGTACCATAAGGAAATAGCAGTTATAGTTTCCTATCTCAGATTCGAAGATTTCTTTGATCTTATTATTTCCAAAATCCCAAGCATGTGTGAAATGCCTAGGATGAGATTTCTAAGAAGAACATTAAATATTGTGTATGCTTTTCTCAGTTGTATTTGATAATTGCTGAAGTTCATGCCACATTTTCCATGTCTCTTTTATGACATACAAGGGCACTTCAAAAAGCTTTTGGAAAAATAGAATTAAAAGATAAATACGAATCCTTCCATAAACTTTTGAAGTACCCTTGTACTTGGTAAACTGCTATTAGAAGTAAGGAGACAAGAGGAAGATTTTAAATACCTGGGTCAATGGTTGAAGAAAAGTCTTTCCAAAAATGAAAAAAAAAAAAAAAAAAAAAGAAGAAGAAGAAATGAGATAACGGAAGTGTCAGAGTGTCAAATCAGCCTCAACACAAATTACAGGTCTTACCCATTGCCGAATCTTCTACTAATCAAAGGATATGGGCAGTAGCAAAGCACATGCTCAGCATTCTTTCCTTCGAGAGGTCTGAGTGTATTAGTGCAGTTCCCCAAAAGTTCTTTTATTACACATCAGCATATGTTCTGGTTTGGATTTAACATGCAGGGCTCTAAGTAATGCATGCATAATGTTGCTTGCACAGAGGGAGTGTTTTGGTGATGGAACCTCTCTAAATTATCCCTATTAATCATCAGCTTATATGACAGTCTCCGTACATCTGTGACCCCATACATCTATGAGTTTTGGGTTTATTTATAATAAGCCACTCAGACCAGGCACATCCTGCTTACAGTGCCAATCTGCAAAAGATCAAATTGTCGAATTATATTCATGCAAATTATAGATTTAACCCAGTACCAATTTTACTTACTAGTGCTTGAAAGGACACAGGTGTTAGCAAAACACAGACTAAGCATTTTTCCTTTGGAGCAGCCCAAGATTGTCAACACAGCTTCCTAAATTCTTTTCTCTCCTAAATTAGGATGGATTCTGGTTCAGATTTAACATGTAAGGTTTTGAGCAATACATGCAGGGAAATTTTGGCTTGGAATACTACCAAAATTTATATTCCACTAATTACATGGCTTATATGACATTCTGTAGCCCAACCCTGCATAGATCTGTTAATTCTTGATTTATTTACAATAAGCAACCTAGACAGACCAAGTACTGGTAAAAGCATTCCCTTGATGAAGACTCTCTGCTACCTTTCTCCTAGTAGCATCCAGTCCGTCACTGGCATGTTTACACACTGATGATATTGACTAGGAGAAAGGTAATAGTCTTCATCTAGAGAATGCTGGGCCATCACTTCCTTTCCAAGATATCATCACCAAAGAGGAATTAAAGGCTATAACCCCGTCGCTAACCTTTCCTTCACTAGGAAATACCACACAAAGACATTATCTTTGATTATATAAGAATGTAATTTTTAAATGTAGATGCACCAAGAATAATAAATATTAAAGATCACTGAAGTAAGCATTATGACATTTATAACTAATGTGAGTTCATCTGCATCTTAACCAGTTAATCTGAAAGGTTCTTTTAGAAAATCTGTGAGGAACATAATCATAGAAGCAGAATAAGAAGGTGTTTGATTCTTCTTATTTGGAAAAAAGGAAAGTTATCTTTCCTTTTTTGTTAACCAAGCGTGACTGGTGAGTCACTGCTGTATCCCTGCAACAGAGACTGAGTTTAAATAACCTCTTTTGTCTTTTGGAAGTAAAGTGATTCTGTCCCTGATCCTGAACCAGTGTTCATACTGGCAAGTCTATTATGGAAATAATAGTTGGGTTCTGGCCAGACTTGCACCAATAAGTGATGAATACTTTCTTCATTTTTCTGTAAATCCTGTCTTTACAGTGCTGTTAGTCCTGATTCTTGGAATAACCCCGTGATGACAACCCTCACCAAAAGCAGATCCTTCACTTCATCCTATGCTGTTTCTGCAGCTAACCATGTAAAGGCTAAAAAGCAAAATCGACCAGGTAACTAATTTACTGGGAAAAAAGTTTATATTCTGAACGTGCCATCATGGAGTAAACCAAGCCTTAAGTGTTGAAATATTCTGAGGGTACCCTACATTCAGATGTCTTTGGTATGACTGTTCTAAAAAGAAAGAGCCTTAATAACCAATTATTTAAATTTCCACTTTTTGTGATGATGTAGATTCTTTCCAAGTCGCTGTATCAGATTTCTTATATTGAACTTATTGTATGAATTCGAAATCAGTGTCACCAAAAAGGATAATCTCTAGAAGCATCATCTTATAATATAAATTTCAACAGTATTTTAGTGTTTGTTAAACAGAAATTTTTCCAGGAATATAGTATTTAACTAGGTTTGAGGAAATGCTTCATTTATTATACATGATGTATGAAAAAGTATGTAGATATCAAAATTCAGAACAATTAAGTTTTAGGTAGGAAAGTAAAAAGATTTGGGAGAAGATTACCTCATTTACTCAGGGTCTGTGCTGACTTAAAATGGGGATACAGTTTTTATCAGATTCTGTTTCTGGATTGCCCTCTCCCTAGAATCCCTTTTGAGAGCCTGGCATGTTTACTCAGACCTCTCATTGTTGGAATGTTCTAACTTCAAGTTTTCACTTCTCAAAACTGTAGAAAACTTTGATGAGATTTTCACTACCTTCCTCCTTAGTTTCTTAATTTCCTGTCTTTAGCAGCTTAAAATTTCACCAAAAAACTCCAGGGGAAAACTGCCCCCTTCTCACTGAGATATTAGACATTCAAGTTCTGGCTTCCAGGGCAGCCCCAAATTTCCAGTTTTTATGTCATTGGCCTCATGACATTGCTAAAAGCTCTGCTGGCTCGCCTCCCTAAAATCCGAACCCCTCTGCCCGGAGTCTGAGCCTCTTGCTCTGTGCCAGTAGTCAGTAAATAATGCTCTGAAGGGAAGAACCATTAACAGGACTTTGGCCTACCCTTCTGAGGTTCTCTTCTCTCTGGCAATCTAGTCTCTCACAACTGGGGCTTTGCCTTAATAACTTTTTTTTTTTAACTTCAGCTTTTCTATTTGTTCTCAAAGAAGCATGTGTTTACTACAAACTACTGCATCACGGGCAGAAGCAGAAGTCCTCAAAATGGCAATATTTATATGAGGGTTAGAGAAATATGTGAGTGATACATTCCACTGATATTTCAAAAGAACAAAATAAAACAAAAACAAATGAATAATAATAAGTTGAACTATTGAAAGGAGAGAGAAGAACTGTGGTTACTGGAGGTGGGAAAGGCAAGCGGGGAGGGGAGATAGTGAGAGGCTGGTTAATGGACACAAAATTACAGCTAGATAAGAAAACTAAGTCCTATTAGTGAACAGTCAACTCAGGAATCTATAATTAACAATGATTTACTGCGTGTTACCAAACAACTAGAAGAGAGGAGATCAAATGTGCACATCACAAAGAAACGATTAAGTTTTGCAATGATGGATATGCTAATTGCCCTCAACAGATCATCACGTATTGTATATATGTATTGAATTATAACTCTGTGCCCCATAAATATGTACAATCAATACGTTTCAACCAAAAATGAAAAAAATGGCTGTTATCAAAAAGACAGAAAATAACATGCTGGAGAGGATGAAAAAAGAACTCTCCTACACTAATGGGAAAGTAAATTGGTATAATCACCATGGAAAACAATTTGGAGGTTCCTCAGAGAACTAAAAATCAAACTATCTTATTACCGAGCACTCCCACTACTGGGTATACACCCGAGGGAAATGAAATTAATGTATTAAAGAGACACCTGCACTCCTATGGTCATTGCAACACTATTCACAATAGCCAAGAAGAGTTGGAATCAACCTAGATGCCCATCAGTGGATGAGTGGATGAAAAACAAAAACTGTGGTACACAATAGAATATTATTCAGCTACAGAAAAAAAGAAATCCTGTCATTTGCAGCAACATGGATGGAACTGGAGACTGTTACGTTAAGTGAAATCAGCCAGGCAAATACCACATGATGTCATTCATATGTGGAATCTAAAAAAAAAAAGGTGGTTCTCATAGAAATGGAAGGAGAGTAATAGTTACCAGAAGCCAGGAGGGGCGAGGGACAGTGGGGAGGGGCAATGGTGGATTAATGGGCACAAAGCTTTGCTTTCTGTTCTGAGTGAATCAATGCACAGTATATGCATGTATTGAAAAAACACACTGTACCCCCCAAATATCTATAAATAAATATCCAAATAAAATTTAAAAAGTTAAAGAAAAATTTCTATAGTCAGCCAGAGAAAAGACAAATAACATTTTCAGGAAAGGCAGTCAGTCTGAGAGCAGAATTGTCAGAAATTCAGAGTCAGAACATGGGAGAATATTTTCTTCAGTGTTCTGAGAGAATTAGTAGTCCACCTAAAATTGTGGGCCTGGCAAATCCATTTCACGAGAATAGGAGTGAACTAAAGACATTTTGAAATACGTCAAAACTTTACTGTCTACCAAATATTTACTAAGGGAATTTGTGATCAATGTACTCTAAAAAGAAGAAAAATATCTGAGAAAAAGTCTGAGATCTAATAAAAATGGTAAACAAATAAATTTGAAAACCATGAGTCAATGCAAACAAGCATCATGAGCATAAATAATGTATTTTCATATTTATGGGTAGTTTTTTAAAGGTTTTTTAAGGACAGAATTAAAATATTGTACAATAATAATACGTAACTTAAGGGATGAAATATGAATTTAAGTGTTCTACATCTTGTGTGCTCAGGAAGGAGGTTCAGAAGAGGATACTGAGGCACAAAAAGGTTAAGTAACTTGGCCACAGCCACACAGTCAATCCTCAGTCCTTTCTTTTGTCCTGATGACTTCATAGCAGAAAAAAATTGAGAACAAGTTGGCAGTTTAAAATTAGGATTTTTTTGGTTCTGTCCTTGGCTGGGTACAAGATAATGGAAGGATTGGGTTTTCCCTCTCTCAATTTCTTCAGTTTGGTAATAAAATAATATTAAATGACCAGCATGATAAAGTGAAAAAACTAAAAATTACGTTTATTAGTCCATTTCTGTTGCTTGTAACAAAATAGCTGAAACTGGGTACTTTGTAAGAAAATCAGATTTATTGCCTACAGTTCTGGAGGCTATGAAGTTCAAACTCCAGGGAACACATCTGGTGAGGGTCTTCTTTGGTGGTGGCTTTACAGCAATGCAGGGGTCACACATGGCAGAAAATGGTGGAGCAGAGAAAGAGAGAGAGAGACTCTCATGCGCTCTCCTTTTAAAGCCCTTGGAACCACGCCCATGACTACCATTGTTAATCCATTCATTAGGGCATGGTCCCACAATCTAATCACCTCTTCAAGGACCAACCTTTCAATTACCATAATAGGATTTCCCATCCTCCATAGTTATAGTGGGAATTAAGCTTCTAATATGAACTTTGGTGGACACTATTCAATCAATCCACAGCATTACATTTAGGGCAGACACTGGAAATGACAGAACAAATGATGGAACAGCTTTACATTCTTGTGTCCTACTCCCTGATTCATATGACTGCACTCAAGAAGACAGGGCAAAGTGTAAAGGGAAAAGAATGTCCACATAAGATACTACAAGGGAGGATGGTAGAAATTAGAGCCTCAGACTTAGCAAGAGTGTCACTGCGTTCTTGCCATCAAGTGCATAAGCTATCTCCATCATGATTACTTTAGAGGTGATTTTGCATTGTCATCTTTAGACTGCTGTCATGGCAGAGCTGAATGTTTATAAAATAACATATATCCCCTGCATGCTGAATTCAACCAAGCAAATCCCTGAAAGTCTGCCAAAAGGGAGAAAAGCATCCATCAAGAATCATAGAGTTGAAATGAGATTACAGTTCACCCTTATCAGAAGGGCCCTTCTGTTTTGAAACCCTTGCCTTCCTGCACTGATGGCTTGGGTTGATGGAGCTAAACAGGTGTGCCATGTTTGATACAATTGACTGTGATATCACCTGATTTTCAATAAATTTTGGAATGAGGCTGGGAAAAGCGCCTTTATGTGGCCAAGAGTATAAGCAAATGGAATTAAATGAAGTGTGAAGACAGTCTGAGGAGGAATGGAAGAGCAATAGACAGTGAGGTGGGGGGAAGCAAGTATGAAGTAAAGAACAGATGAAATGCAAGATGAGTTACCTGTTTCCAGAGGTGACTAATGAAATCTGTTCTTTGGGCAAATCAAGTGAACAGTGTGTACGCTAGCTCAGTCAATCAGCATTAATTTTAAATAGCTGAAACAACCAATTGTTATGCAGTTACTAATATAAAATACATGGATGAAATCACATAGGAGTCCTTTGATTAAAGCATAAAAATGGGAGATTTAGATATAATTTGCATTGTCATCTTACTCTTCTAGTATGAATCACTGACAATGTGGAACTACCATTGCGTCATTCAGCCTTTAAAATTCCTCTAAATGGTAGTTATAGCATTTGTAGTAGGCCTTTCCCAGATTCTTCTAAGTTTAGGCTGCCTATTAGAATGATTACAGACATGTTCACACTTATAAGCTAGACTGAGGTTTTCCTATATAAAATTTTGAAAGAACAGAAAATTTTAATTATGGTTGTGATTTTTTTGCATTTTCTTTAGGTACTTTTTAAAATACTGAATTACATTTTGAGTAGTTAAAAAGACATAATATTGGTTCCTATATTTAACACTTCTGATTAATATAAAATGATAACTCTACAAAGCATATACTGTATATTTCATTTAATCTTCAAATAACAATATGTGGAATATCAGTAAAGCATTTGCATTAATATATGGATCAGATTTCATTACACAGGTTTTGATGCATCATAACAAAACATGCTTTGTCATGTAAATTACCTAATCTGCATAATAAAAAATTAAATCTGAAAATCTTAAAGGAGATATGAGCCTTAAATCTGTGAGTCACATAAAAGATCCCAAAAATCTCAGCCATAGCTCTTGCACCAAGAGGAGACCACGATGGCAGGAG